TGAAGTGCTGTCTGTACAATAATAACACCATGGTGCATGGTACACAAGCTCGGGGCATGGAGCTGCTGTCTGAAGTGCTGTCAGAATGAGCCCGTGGACATACAATGAAGAAGAACGCCCAACCAAAGCCATCATTGCAATTGACAATCACCCGAGTCTATCCAGATCATCTGTGATAGGCGCAGCAGTGTAAACATCGACACTGACCAGGAATCGTTCCACATTTGAGGGGTCTTCCACTGCAGGTATACAATTGAGGCACCCGGGTTATCCGCGCCATCTCTGCCGCGTCTCTCTATAAAACCAGTGACGTCATCACACACACCCAACACCTGTATTCAGGAGAAAAAACGGGAAAATAATTGACAATACAAGAGATGTTTGTCCGTGCGCCACGGTTCGATGCCGTCCGCATGGTCCGGTTCCGCTGCTCCGGTGCCGCTGCTCCGGTGCCGCTGTGGTCGATCCTAGCACGACCAAACTCGACCCGCTCCGCTTCGTACACGGTCTCGTTGCTATCCTTCCCAGTCGGGTCCCCGCTTTCTCCCTCGTTGCAATCAGGGTTCTTGGTCTGAAGATTCTCGCGCCGAAGGGTCAACCAGCCCAATCAGCTCGTCACCACCTGTCCCCTCCTCCTTTGATAACAAAACCAGGTTACTGCGACAGTACAGCTCCCTCTAGCAAACCTAGGGCTGTGTACATAGTGCCCGTCCACCTTTCTGATGACGTCTGCCTCCGCGCACAAAGATGAGATGGGCATTGCTGCCTACACCGACGGCCTGGAGGCCCGCGCATCTGCACCTTTGTACTAGACGCACCAGTGCCGACCCAACTCCACCACGACGCACGCCTCGCGGCGGGTGCGCTGCAGCAAGAAGGTATCGGTCCCCTGAGGATGAGTCTAGCCCTGCTCGCTAGAAAGACCCCCCCCATCGCTATGGGTCATGCCTACGCAAAACCTTGCCGAGGCAGCGAGGGGAAGAAAGGCAGCATAGTCTATGGAAACTTTGGAACAAAAATTGGGAATGATGCAAACGGCCCAAATATTTTACGGTGTTTGCGAACATCGGAATTCGATTTGATTTCGATCTTTGTTATCCACCCGAGCGCCTAAGACCGCTGGATCTTTAGGAATCGATCTTTCGCTTGTACGAATTGCCCTCAAAGACCGCAGAAAAGATCGAATTCCATCTTGCTCGCATCTATCTTTTTGGGAACAGTTTCAGGTGTATTGCCGGTTGCCCCGGTGGTCTAATTGGTAACCTCGAAACCTTCTAGACTAGTAGAGGTCAGGTCAGGGGTTCGAATCCCGGCGTAAGCGAGCTTTTCTTACAAAGTGAGTTTTCCTCTCGCTTCCGCTCCTGGCCTAGTGGATAGCGCTACATAGTTCGCCTGTACACAGAGGGAAGAGAGTGCTGAACTCTTCTCGCATTGAAAATCGAANGTTTCAGGTGTATTGCCGGTTGCCCCGGTGGTCTAATTGGTAACCTCGAAACCTTCTAGACTAGTAGAGGTCAGGTCAGGGGTTCGAATCCCGGCGTAAGCGAGCTTTTCTTACAAAGTGAGTTTTCCTCTCGCTTCCGCTCCTGGCCTAGTGGATAGCGCTACATAGTTCGCCTGTACACAGAGGGAAGAGAGTGCTGAACTCTTCTCGCATTGAAAATCGAAGGCAAAGTACCGCAGGAGGGGAGGGTAGAGAGGGGCTCTTCTGTGTGACCACGGGTTGGACGGGTTGGAGTAAACGGCACTAGTGCCATGAGCGCTGATTTGAAGTGAAGACCAAAAAAAAAAAAATACTCCCCGAGATACTCCGACGTTGTCTGGACACTACATCATGCCGCACCAGCCCGTGAGGCTAGCTATCTATGCACCCACAACCTCGGCCGTGATACACACTATCATGGCGAGCCAGCTATAGTACCGCAAGACAGTTAAGCCAATCGCCACTGCACGCCAGACCCGGTGCAATGCATGCTGTCGATATGGTGCATTTGCGCCATTTGAACCGCAGCATACCGTTCTACATGCTCTTGAGTTACACACCAAGTCAGCGTGACGAGGATGACGGCGATGCTGCGAGCGGCATAGATCTTAGCAGTGCTGCACAGGCGGAGGCGGAGGTGATGGGGTCAGGGATGCTCCAAGCAGCGAGGGAGCGTGAGGAGCTGCTGCGCGTGCATCTTGTGGACCGATGCGTCTGTCGCGGACGATCGACTCCGTTGATGACTGCGACGCGTATCACTCAACCGCGGGGCTGCGGTAGTAGGAGGAGGAGGTCCTTGGCCTTCGTGCTGTGTGTTCACCGGAACTCTGGCGAGGGGAGCGGCCCTCGCCGGAGGACTCGTGTTGCCATGAACAACACCCGGCAACTAACTGAACCGGGCCAGCCTTCTCATCATGAGTACGTTGACCTCCATCGTTCTCCATGACTGTTTAGCAGCGTTGTGAGTTTTTTTTTTTTCTCCCATCATTGGACTCTGTTGTCTGCCCCTCTGGCCCCTATCCTCCACTTCTACCAGCTAGACGACCCAACCGGGGTCACATGGGAGGGGGGGGTTGGACCCCTTCCTGCGGTTCCTGCCTGGGATGTTTTTATCGCGAGAAGGGTACAGCAATCCCTTCCCTCGCGACTTATGAAGTCCATCAAGTTTACTAACAACGAGCTTTCTTTGCAGTGCGTCGCTTCCAACGGAGACCAGGATTTAAAAAGCGAGAAAAAACTCACTCTGTCGGGACTCGTACCCATGACCTGGCCCTTAGCAGGCTGCGAGGCTAACCACTAGACCACCGGGGCGACCGTGGTAGGCTTGCGGTGGGGGTGGAGGCGGAAGGTCTGATGTAGGTTGTGTCGAGCGGGACCAAGTCTGCTGCCGAAAAGAGCCGGAAAGGGGGCTCCGCCGTAGTAAAATACTGCATTCCTGGAAATTTCTGGGTGATCAAGACCACAAATAATTCGATCGCATCTTCGCAACCTGTTTTCGTAGATTTTAATCTCATCCCGAATTTCCTGGCAACTTCAAGATGAAATCCAAACACCAGTCCGCAAACACCCTTTTTACTCTAGTTTTTTTCTACTTGTTGGAGGTGTTTACCGTGAGGGCGTCCCGTTATCTATCTCCTTCGTTGTAGAGGCTCAGCACCTCGGCGTTGTGTATTTGTTTATTTGTGAAGTCTTTTTGATGTCACCTGAGTGGTTAGCTGTCCGCTCGAGACAGGTGGGTCATTGAAACATAGTAGTCGGATGTTGAGGCTTTTGATACTTATTTGGCGCCTTGTTCAATTTCTCTACACGTCTTCTCTGTTTTGTTAGTTTTATATTCAAAATTGTACCATCACGGGGCTGTTGAAGGCAGAGGTCGTGGAGGCTCTGCTCCCTGCTTGGCGTGTGCATGACTTGTCGCCGCACAATGGTCATTGCCGGGGCAACAACGAAATCAACCCCGCTGCTGCCACCGCACAGTCGAAGCAAGGATTCGGTCCGAACAGAACAGATACAACACGATCTCGCGATTACCGCAACCAACCCTTGAAACAGCCAAACTCAGCATTTTGCGAGTTTTGGGCTCGTGTCTCCGCCGCCGTCACTGGGTGGTATTTGGCGTGGTCTAAGCCCACCGGCGGACCTTGGTCGGACCACCCCGAGCGTCAGGGCTAGGCCAGAGGGAGCAAGGCAAGAGGCGCCCTCGACCGCAGCGTTTGTTTGACAGATCTCCGTCGTCAGGTCTCCGTAGATCGATCTGCAGTTTTTTGTTCTGCAAGAAAATGTTCGAGGCACCACATTCATCACGCACAGGTATCGGCGTCAGAATCGAGTCGGTGAGGCTGGAACGTTTCGACACACCAGCAGGCCATTCCTCTTCGAGCAACACGGCCTCATGTCGTGTACCTGTAGCTGAAAATCAGTCAGCGGAGTTTGTTCTTAGTTCGACAACGGGCAGCTGCGATCATGCGGGCGCGATTATGGTCTGTTTTTGTTCCTGGGATCATCTCCCTCCATCACTGGAAAGCTGTTGCGACTTCGTACGACCCTGCTGCTGCTGCTGCTGCTGAACGGAAACCCCAGGATGTCCATTCCGATCGGGGCTTGATACGCATTGATCCGCTCGAGCTGCGGCGGCAGCACGCGGCCATGGCATGGAAGGAGGAGGACGAACGCATCCTCTTCGGCGGCAGGACCAGGTACTCCGTGATCGTGGTCGAGGCAGAGCATCACACGTCGAACCTGGCTCGAGAGAAGGAGAGAGTGAGGGCCTTCGAGGACAGCACCAACACCGCGGTGGTGTCGGTGCAGTTTACAAGTCCCTACCCGCACGCACCGATAACGGAGGGCTCGGCCGCTCCTTTCTTCGTGAGTCACCCGGAGGGAGACGAAGCAGCGCCAGTGGACAAGAAAGTTCGGGTAGTGCATCTGAAGGACATCGGGACGCACGTCAAACCATATCAGGTGTGAGCAGTCAAGGAAGGCAATTTTTACAGGCTGCTGACCGAGACATTGCACATACCTGTTGCCACGACGAGAAACACTACTGATACTACTGCTGCTGTGGCCTAACTCATGTACAATCGACATGCTTTTTGTCGTGTAGCGAACGCGCCCCGTTGCCTATCGATTCATGGTCAACATTTACCATCTTCCCCAAACAGCGTGCGTACTGTTGCACTTGCATTGTTGTTGTTGTTGTTGACTTCACATTAAACCGTATGCCAGTAGCTAAATGCCAAAATCTAGCAAAGACTCTCGGCCCGTGGTCACGAAAGTGCTGGAGCCATCTGAGGATCTAAAGAACACGCACACGTAGCAAGAAAAAGGTGTACAAGAGCCCGAAGAGGTACTACTACACCTATATATAATCCCTGCAGCACCGTACGCGTGCCCAAAACTGAACTACACGTCCGTCTCACCGTTCGACTACAGCAACATCACCCCCTAC